CCACTCCACAGCATTTCCTCTCCCCCGTCTTCCTTCTTCCTTTCTTTTCCTCTAATGACTGTTTTGTACCACTGCGCTGTTCATTGGTCTGCAGGGGGATGGGACCGAGTCAGGAGCCATCTGTCAAACATTCTGGAGAACGCAAGAGCTCGAAAAGAATATCACCATTCAAGCATAGACTCGTTAAGGGCGTCATATGATGACAAATCAAATTTTCCTTGATCTTTTGAGATAAAAGAGCTTTTTGTGTTATAAAAACACTAATTCCCTCACAAACCTTGGGAAATGAGTACAACTCTTAAACTTCAAAGATGTTCAATTTATGCACCCTTCTGTTGTTCCAAAACTGCAAAACTTTCTTTCCTCTGTAGAATGCATACACAAATTTGAATTTGTTTTGGGCTCCACTGACTTTCATTATATGGATAAAAAGCACTTTAAAGTGTCCTTAAAATATCTACATAACACACAGCCTATAAGAATATCTCTAAGTGCTCATTCTGTATGTTACATTGCAGTTAGTTAATTATCTTGAATATTCCAGTTTGATATGAAGACCAAGAAAAGTCAATGAAGAAACAATGGACAGTAGATTAACAGAGGTGTTTTGTTTTCTTTTGTCGTTCGCTTGAGAGAAAACAAAGCCATTTTAATAAAGAGTTAAAAAGTCTGTTAGTAATATACAATTCCAACTTTAATGTACTCATTAATAAATGAAATAAGAAACAAAGTTTTACGCATTACAAACAGAGACTCATTCTCCATCTTTTGGCAAAATACTGTAGTTTCCCTTCACATTACAGCTGTAATGAATTCACATAAAATCACACACTTTCTCCCTCACACATAGTTTTAGATACAACATTGAAAACATAAATTATTTTGTTGTTGTTGTAGTTATTGTTGTTTTGAAGATGATGATGATGATAAAGTACTCTATGCAGCACGTACATTTTTTACCTAAAATATAAATTTGTCTCAGTACAGAACATATCTCAAGACAACAATAGTGTCATATAACTAAGTAAAGAACACTTGGCTTTAAAAATAAAAACAAAAACAAAAAAACAAAGTCATTTAAAACAGTAATTTATCAAATAGCAATACATACAAAACCAAACACAATTCATTTCTTTTGTAAATATTTCAATGCTTGTGATTAAGAGAGAAATGCAATATTAGAAGATGAATGCACACACATAGAAAAGGCATGCTTTAAGATTGAAGTATCACAAGAGAGCACATGTGACACCGGGACTCTCGCACGACACAAGCACTCTGACGCACAAGAATGAAACGAGCATGCTATGACGGACTATGAATATCAGATATTCAAGGTCATTTTGTTTATGCAAGGGTGTTTTGGGGAAGTGGAGACTGATTTAAGATCAAATAACAGTAAATAAGTGTGGAAACACATTTAACGGCACAATTTAGCCAACAAGGAAATTGTGCTATCATTGTTTTTTTCTTTTTTCCCCCATACAATTAAAGGAACACTCCACTATTTTTGAAAATTTTCCAACTCCCTTAGTGTTAAACAGTTGAGTTTTACCATTTTCAAGTCCATTCAGCTGATCTCCGGGTCTGGCGGTAGCACTTTTAGCTGTAGCTTAGCATAGATAATTGAATCTGATTAGACCGTTAGCATCTCGCTCAAAAATGACCAAAGAGTTTCTATATTTTTCCTATTTAAAACTTGACTCTTCTGTAGTTACATCGTGTACTAAGACCGACGGAAAATGAAAAGTTGCGATTTTCTTGGCCGATATGGCTAGGAACTATATTAAACTATACTGCAATTATATTACGCAGCGCCTGAAAATAGTCCCCAGCACGCTCCCTGTGCAAGCAGGTGGTCACGTTGGTTATGTTGACGGAAGTCAGCCTATTTTCAGGCGCTGCGTAATATCATTGCGCCTGCTGCACCCATGGTACGGCAGCAAAGTTCCTTGATTATTACGCCAGAATGAGAGTATAGTTCCTAGCCATATCGGCCTACAAAATCGCAACTTTTCATTTTCTGTCGATCTTAGTACATGATGTAACTACAGAAGGGTCAAGTTTAAAATAGGAAAAATACAGAAACTCTTTGGTCATTTTTGAGCGAGATGCTAACGGTCTAATCAGATTCAATGATCTATGCTAAGCTGCAGCTAAAAGTGCTACCGCCAGACCCGGAGATCGGCTGAATGGATTCAAAAACGGTAAAACTCAACTGTTTAACTCTAGGGGAGTTGGAAAATGAGCCTATTTTCAAAAATAGTGGAGTGTTCCTTTAAGGTTAATGGGGTTTATTGATATTGTGGTCCCCAGTGACATTAAGTGTATTTTGTGTTTCACCGAAGAAAGAAAATCATCCAGGTTTGGAACGACACAAAGAGTGAACTATCACTTTAAGTGTGTTTCTATGCACATCTACTGTTATTTGATCATAAATCAGTCACAATGCTTTAGGCTTATTCCACAAGAGATGGTCCTTCCTGGTCCACATAAACAGATTTTCTAGCGCGATATGTTCCCGTATGGTATTTTTCTTCAGGGTTATCGACTGGCTACTGAGCATTACATGGAGATTCACCACCATAATCCTCTGTAGTTGTTAATTTTTGTTTTTTAGAAAACCCCATTAGTTTGATGCAACTATGACTGCTATGTTTAAATATGTTTACCTCTGGGAGATCAATCACTGCTCTGCTCTCCACAAAGCAAAAGCCCATATTAATATGACGCAAAGCTCTCAGGGGCAACTTAAGGTTCTTAATTAAGGATTGTCCTTGAATTAGGGTGGAACCTTTAAGTTCATTAACCCTGTGTGGCCAGATACAAGGAGAGAGATGAGAGTGACCTTATAAAGTAATTACAATCCACGGATCCCCTCTCCACCCACCCTAGAGCACTGACACCAGACAACATAATGACAGAAAGACAATGACTCTTTTAAGACGTCACCTAGCAACAAGAAGCACTAAAAATACATCACTCTGCTTTTTTTAATCTGGTATCATTGGAATGTATAAATACACATATGCCAGTATAAATGCGGACTGTATGTACATCTGTTTCGCCCACTTTCGCGTCACACATTGTGTAAGAAATTGAGCAGAGCACTTGCAACATTTCCATAGATGGCTGACTGTAGATTTTTTATGTTTTATCATTCACGAAAATGAAGGGCTGTGCTGTAGCAGGCCAGCCTCGTTTAAGCCAATGGTGTCGTCATAACAGATAGCACCCTTCTAAAATGGTGCATTTGGCCATTGGCGTCATTATAAATCAGGTAATGGGACTATGCGTTCCCTCTTAACCATTTTTCAGAAAGCTCTTTAAAATGACTTTTATTAAAAAGTTTGAAGCACTGGTCTGCTGGGGCCCCTAATAGTGAGAATTTCCTACAGCTATAACTTTTCATTTCCTATAGCATGTGTCCCAGGTTGGGCCAAGCAGATGGCTGATAGCTGGGAAAATGGGGACACATTACCCCCTTGTAAACAATCATGTAATATCTGCAAACTTGAAACCCGTAAGCACTGTATCGCGTAGCAAAGAGCTGGGCTAACTTAAGCAAGTTTAACTCTTTGCTAACTGGAAATGAACCAGGTCTTATTAGTTAAGGAGCAGATGGAGGACATTGATTAAAGATAGCAAACTGAAATTAAACTGGAATCCCAACCATTATACATTAACCATGCACGTAAATGCAAATTAGGTGGTGCCAATGCTAGCAGGAGAGGTAAGTGCTTGAATGATTAGATACGCTCAGGATTTATGCGGCGAAAGTGAGGGACTCACATTTCACGGGTAAAATATCCATGTTGCGCATGAACGAGTCATAATTTTCACCATCTTGTCAGTGTAAACTCAGTGACAGACCTACTGTATGGCCTAGAGACCTTGTACGGTTGATATCAAGGCACCCATGTTGTGTTCAAACACAACCACATGACTCAATGACGCAATGCCTTCAGTAGAGAATAGAGCTAAAAGCTTGACACAGTGAAGCTGTAGAACATGGCTTGGTACAACAGGACAGTCACTGCATGTTTTAGGACCAACAAATGTACCACATGAAAGCTGCAGCCATTTGTAAATTCATGGATGTTGAGAGGGGATCCAGAAGCTCACAGGATGGGAGCCTGAAACTCCTGAGCGTGGCAGTGACAGACACGAAATTCACTGTGCTTGAGTTTAGCACACTTTCATACTTGCATACATACACTCATAGTCAGATACAAACACTTTGAACACTGTTCAACAGACTGGCACACATGACTCGTACGTTTTGTCAAATCTTTTGCACTCGCCCATTCGAATAAATGCTCTCTCTCTCACACACACACACACACAGCCTACAATATTTCCCCACATAATACATAGTTCATAATAATAAATATCACATGAATAAACACCAACACCTTGTTTCTTATGTCGCCATTAAACTATTTCTTTTGGTCTCCATTCAACTTCTATCACTAATGTTGTTCCATGCAAATTGTGTATCTCTTCAGGTTTTGTTAACTTTCAACAAAAATAACCAGAAAAGACTGAAAAAAGATCTTTCTTTCCTTCTTACAATCCTTCTGTTGACTTCATAATTAATTTTCAGTAGCATGGTAAAAATAAATGAATAAATAATAAAAAACACAAGAGCATTTTTAAAAGATTTACAATACCAGCAAATAGTAGATGTGAAGAGGGTGTGGTATAGATAATATTGGGGCAGGGCCACAAATGAAGAAGGTGTGGCATAAATAGAGTTGTGGGTGGGGTCAGAATTGAAATGGGTGTGGTTTAGGTAGTGACAGTGTGGGATCAGAGGGGAAAATATGTGGTATATTGTAGATAATACAGGAGGGGAGTCAGAGATGGAAGGGGTGTGGCACAGGTAGGGTTGTGGATGGGGTCAGAAGTGAAGAGGGCGTTGTTTGTTGTGAATTGGTGTCATATGTAAATAAGGTATGGTAATAATGGGGTGGGCCAGAGATTAAAAGGTGTGGTATAGGTAGTGTAATGGGTGGAGTCAGAAGTGAAGGTGTGGTGTATGTAGTGATGGGGCAGGGTCACTATAGTAGTATAAGGGTATAAGTAGTACTAGGCAGGGCCTGCGATAACATTGAAGTGATGTTAATAGTGAGGAAGTTGTTGTATAATTATTGAGCGTGAGGTCAAGAGTTGAAGAAGGTCTGGTGTAGGTAGCACTGGGGCATGTTCAGAGGTGATGAAGATGTTTGAGTAGAATTTGGCCAGGGTTATGGGCAAAGGTCATATTAGGGGCGGAGTCAGTTTGAGAAGCTCAGCCCTCACCGGATCACTTGAGCTGAAATTATAGTTGTGAAAAATGAAAAGCGCTAGTGTGGTACGAATGTCTGCGGGGAGCTTCAGTAACAGGCAAGAGAAGACAGATGAAACAGAGTGTTCATGTCTTGAGGGTAGGTAGAGGTGTGAAGCATGCCCAGATCTCTGCAGTGGGAATGAGTCTATTGACAGCGACTTGGAGGGAAGAGAGAATAATAGATGAGGGATTTCTGAGAGAATATCGAAGTGAGGCATAAAGGACCATCCTTGGAAAAAACAGCACTGAAGCAAGAAAAACGCTAAGGGGGCTCTCTAGAGAGTATTCTGGAGAGAGTTGCTCTGTCTGAATATCCAGGGGGTGGCAGACACCATGTAAAAGAGATCCATCTATAAAGAGAAGCTGTGCATGAAACCACAGAGCCTCTATCATCCTCCACTGACACTCATCTAGAAATCCACGTCAGTGTTAGCTAAAGGATGCGAGTTCAATTTCAACAGCGATAATAATCAGTAAGAACAGATGTAAACACTCATTTTAGACTTCTCATATACACAAAAGCAGAGAGGAAGAATGATGGGAGGTTTTACAGCAAAGAGTACATCTCTCTCAGGAACTTTCTCAGAAGCCAGGCACGTGGCAGTAAGCCTCCAGCGAGGCCAGCAGGATGTAGATGAGCCACAGCATGAGGAAGAGGAACACGGTGAGCAGCTTGGCGGTTCGCGGACCCCCCAGCTCGCCCCCGGACACAGAGGGCCGGCGGCGGTACAGCAGTATCAGAACACACAGCAGTGCCATAATGGTGAAGAGGGTGACGGAAAACGCCAGCGACCCCGGCGGGACCTGGAATTTTTTGCCCTGACTGTGCCAGTACACAGCAGCGATGGTCCACGCCACTCCAATACCCAGGAAGACATTAACTGCATTACTACCTGTCACATTTCCAATGGATGCATCGGCGTATTGGTCCTGGATGGCTGCCACCTTGCTGGCAAAAGTATCTGTGGAGGGCAAAAGAAAAGACAAGATGAAAGAAGAATGGTTAGAAGTGGAAGAGCCCCAGAAGAACATTTTAATGAAAGACATTGCTCGTAGCTCAGGACAGTGTTTTCCAAACCTGTTCCTGGAAGCACATCAACAGTACACATTTCGAAGTCTTCCTAATATAACACACCTGATTCAACGCATTAGCAGAGACCTGAAATGGATGGGGCGGATAAGGATAATGCATCCAATAACAGGGTTGGGAAACACTGGCTCAGAAGACAGAATGGAGGTATCATTTATGTTTAATCAACATTGTCTCACATGTTTCTTCTAAAAGTCCATATGAGAAAGAAAAGCTGAAACAAATGAGATAATAGTTGACATACAATAAAGAGTACAGAAATACAAAATAAAATGAATGTTGTTGGCAATTCAGTCTTGGAAGAACTTGATAAGAAATTAAGTTCAAATTAAAATATCTGACTTTTGATTGTAGACTTTGGTATCTTGGAAATCTGAGCGCAGCCTGTGCTCAAATTTTCCACTGTGATCTCTTGTGAATCTCTAGACGAGACAAATATGAGATTACAACTGTCTTTTTCTCAGAAGAAATATCTGGCAATAAGGATGGGCGATAGACAGGTTAAAACAATAAACCAGTAAAAAAAAAAGAAGAAAAGTAGTAGTGTTGAGTTATAAATCTGAGTTTTCTGTCTGATTTGAATGTGATGTGATAAAAGACAGCAGAAAAGCAGTAATGGCAAGGAAACACATCTTTCTATTGAGTGCACACAAAAATATCACAGTCCAACTAGTGAGGTTTGATTAACAACAAATGAGTCTTATGAACTGATTCTTTTAATTAATCATTCATTCAAAAAGACTCGAGGACTTATCAGTGTGACGAATGCTTTGCTAAATGAACTCACTTAATCTATCAGAGTGGTTACTGAATCAACATCTATACAGGTAAAATACTTCCAAAAAGATTTGGATGTGCAGAAAAAGATTTGGAAAAGTATGAGTCACATTGCAAGTATTGCCAATATTGTTTTCCTATGCTTCTAACTTAATTTATACCTTTAATCTTTTTTGACACTATTTTACCTAAAAAAAACAATCGCTTTTCCATAACAAAACAGCGTATATTACAATATACACATTAGAAACTACACATTATAACATATGATTACCAACCAAAATGTATAAGAATATTGTAATATAGATTTGTACTTATATTGCCCAACTCTAACTGAGCAGACAGAAATGCAAGCACCGTTTGCACTCTATTTTATCTGACTGCTGTCTTGAAGAAAAGTGGATCTTTTCATTATGTATGTTGGAGCTTGAAGATGGTTTGACATATAGAGCTTGAGTATGTGCAGACTTAGTCCATCCACTCTAATGCAGCTAATGCCAAGTCAAACACACAGATCTCTTGCAAATCATGGTCTGCTAAATAGTCCACATCATTAAACAGTCTAAGTAAGCTACAACATTCACACATCCACACGAAAGCTGACTAGGGCCATTATGGAACGATAAATTAGAAAACATGTTGAAAGCAGCGGCTGCATTTCAACAGTACAGTATATAATACATCAATATTTGATAGAATACTTGATTCTAATTGGTTAATTGTGGCATTCAGGGTTTACTTTTTGATAATGACTGGATGACTACATTATCCTTACTAATTAGCTACAGTACATGCAATGGCATCTGATACACAAGTAAACACTCACCAGGCACAGATGTGCCCAAGGCCACAAACACCACAGCTGTGACAGAGTCCTTCAGGCCTACTGTACAACCAAAGTGAGAGGCCAAATCTCCAGTAACAGCGGTCAGGACCCCGATGAGCGTGATGGAGACAATGAAGCAGGCCCAGCCGTTCCAGTACTCCGTAGGTGGAACGAAGGCAAACAGAACCTTCCAGAAAACTGTCAGGAAGTGCATGATGTAATCAAAGCATGAGGGCAAGCGCTCTTCCCCGCTCTCCTCTTCATCATCATCACCTGAGGGGCGAACAAAAGGTACAATATATAGAAGGGTTTGCTTGATTATGACAATTTCTTTCATGGTTATTTTGGTCAGTATTAAAGTGTTAGTTCGCCCAAAATTGAAAATTCTGTCATTAAGTACTCACCCTCATGTCGTTCCAAACCCGTAAGACCTTTGTTCATCTTCGGAAAACAAATTAAGATATTTTTGATGAAATCCGAGAGCTTTCTGACCCTGCATAGACAGCAATGCAGCTGAAACATTCAAGGCCCAAAAAGGTAGCAAGGACATCGTTTAAATAGTCCATGTGACATCAGTGGTTCAACCGTAATTTTATGAAGCTACGAGAACACTTTCTGTGCGCACAGAAAATAAAAATAATGACTTTATTCAACAATTTCGTCTCTTCTGTGTCAGTCTTCGCCGCGTGTTCACGGGAGTACGATGACGTATGGACTATTTTAGCGATGTCCTTACTACGTTTCTGGGCCTTGAACGTGTCAGTTGCATTGCAGGGTCAGAAAGCTCTCAGATTTCATCAAATATTCCTTAATTTGTGTTTCAAAGATAAACAAAGGTCGTACGGGTTTGGAATGACATGAAGCTGAGTAATTAAAGAATTTTCATTTTTGGATTAACTAAACCTTTAGGTTCACTAACTATTTAATTTGATTACTCATTTACATTTTGGAAACATGCATTTATTGATTAGTTTTTAAAGTGATTTTTTTGAACTTCAAAAACAATTAACAAAAAACAAACAAACACATAAATACTGTATATACATACTGTTAATAACACAAGACAAAACGAGAGTATCATTCAAAATCTTTTTTTTCCCTCGATTTTCTTGTTTTCATAATCGTTGGAAGGCAAATGAAAATAAAATTTAATTAATTGCTCAGCCCTAATATACAGTCTGTAGTAAGGTATAGTAATTAGAAAAAAAAAACATTAAATTCAAATGAATTCAGTTAAATTAATTTTATTTTATTAGTACAATGAAATGTTTTAAATAAGTTTCAGGTTTTGCAGAAAAATTTGTCTTCCTCCACATAATTGTACGCTGACAAAAAACTGGTATAGGATTAACTTTATAACAATTTTCATTTAGAAATTGCTGGTAAATTTCACAAATAATTGCAGAGAAACAGCAAAAAACATGTTAATATTAAATATGAAATTTTTAAACAGGAAGACTGAAATTCCAGCATACTTTTTTTTTTGCGTTTATGAATTTTCCTTGACAAGACAGTAGGGATATGAAAGAAAGTGAGTGAGAGAGAAATGGGGGGTGAGAGCAGGAAAGGTCCACAAGGCGGGATTCGATCCTGGGACACCCAAAGCGCAACTGCGCCATATGTCGGTGCGCCATCTTTCCAGCATACTTTTAACATTAAGTGTCTCCTTCTTGGCTGAGATTGTGTCACGTTGCACAGAATGATTCACATTCAGTGTGGATAGACAAACTGGTTGTTGCTGGAAACCTGTCACATCTTTTCCTTATTGAATGGTTTTATATAAATTTTTTATTGAATATGAATCAGTTGTGTGGTCCACTTCTATTTGAGCATGTGTGAACACAGTTTGGCAGAGAGACACTGACCTGCACTGACAGTGACAGCGCTGACAAACTGTTCTCTCCAGCTGCTGCTGCCCACCACCAGTGCCAGGTTAGTCTTCTTTATGAGCTTGTCGACGGTATTCTGAAAACACACACAAATACATATATAAAAGATAAATCAAACCCAAACCCACAAAACTGTCCTCGTAGTAGACAAGATTTAATATGACTCTGTCTCGTAGCCCAGTGAGCACAGAGGTCTCAGCTAAACTGATTTCAGTGAGGCAGTGGGCGTCTATGCACAACCCTGTCAGAATTTCATTTTCTCCAATGTCATCCTGTCCTAGCCGTTTGCTTGTTTGCATTTAGAGCACTGCGGATAATCGTGGAGGGAGTAACACAGTATTTCTACCTCAAATCTCTTCTAAATCCCAGAGCCGCCTGACCCCGGTGACCTCCAGTATTGAGACTGTCACCATGAGAACAAGGAGGTGAGGATTCAGATAGAAATTGAATGTGAGAGACTGTGCAGGTAAGACCACTTCATGAAAGCTGTATTGTTCTTCCTGATTCACAGGACTTACCTTAAACTCGTACGATTCCTCTATCACCACTTCCTGTTTGGTGTGCTCTCCCAGACTTGGGCACCCCATCTTGGCCACCTCCTCTTCCTCTGCCCCCACCGCCAGTTTGTTATCATTGGAGTCTCCTGTCAAAGGAAGACATAAAAAAATCTACTGAGCCATATAGTTTGTATGTGTATTACAGAGCTGAGATGGTAGAACTCAATTTACAAGGAAATTCACTAAGAATGAATTGTGCCCAGTGGTAGCGCTGTTTATTTGCATGCACGGTCTGCGCTTGTTGTTGCACCCAATTCACTAAAGGAATTTTGCAAATCAAGTAACTGAAAATGCAGCCAATTGCAACAATTTGCATGATCATTTTCTATCTTGCATGCCGTTTTTGAGTTCTAGTTTGATAAAAATGCAGCAGACTACAGCAATCTGCCAGACTTTGTTGTGATTGTGTAGCATGTTTACAAAAATAAATCATTAACTTTTATATTTTCATTGTACTAAAGCCAAAGCAAACTGTATGAATCATCACTGTGTCTGTCACGCGACTCTGTTGCCCTTTTGGTCTTGAACTGATGGTAAAACTAACAACATTATTAACTGTCTTGATATTTACTTTGAAAGCTGAAGCTGCGATTATGGTAAGGGGCGTTACATTTCCGACGCATGCTTGTGGTGTTCGGCCAGTCACAATGCACTGGGTCAGCTGGCCAATCAGAGCAGACTGCGCTTGTCAAAGGAGGGGGCTTTGTTGAAAACGACGCGTTTGAGAGAGGCGGGGCATAAAGGACCTACAATAATGTACAGTATTTGAAAAATAATGTGTTTTTTGAACATTAAAGCATGTCAACATATTCTGTTACACCAAATACACAAAATAATGATATTTAAAATAGCATCATATGACCCCTTTAACCTTTAAAAAAGATATATATTTTTTCCAGCATACTTTTTTTTTTGCGTTTATGAATTTTCCTTGACAAGACAGTAGAGATATGAAAGAAAGTGAGTGAGAGAGAAATGGGGGGTGAGAGCAGGAAAGGTCCACAAGGAGGGATTCGATGGGAGAATGCAGATCTGAACTATATTCAGATTAGGTTTTTATTTCTCAGTGTTATAAACTTGGCAGCGGCTATTTGCAGTAAGTGTAAATAGCGATAGAGGCTATTTGCAGTAAGTGCAAATAATGGATTCTATTTACACAGTGAAAATAGCAGGATTTTCTTAGTGATATGCTATTTACACTGCACAAATCGCTCTAGATTCTATTTACACTGTAAAAAAAGCAAGATTTTCTGCTATTTTTACTACTTATTACAAATAGTAGCAAATTATCTGCACCTAAATTGTAGTGCGTTATAAAACAGTATGCAATGATAACGTATTGACTGCAAATTACAATTTTTTAAATTCAAATTATTAAACGGATGCCACCTTACTGGGACAATAAAGCCCTCCCTACACCTACCCTACCCATCGTTTTAACAAAACAACATTGCTGTCAATAGATGCAAAAATAAATAAATAAATAAATGAAAATGATAGAAAATGTTTAATTTACTAATTTTAATTTGTTAAAATTAAAAGTTTAATTAATTAAAAGATTAACTTACAAAAAGCCCCAAAAATACATTTTGCAAAAAATAATATATATTACATATCTGCAATTTTTCCACAGACAATCTCGAACATTTCTGTGGCCCCCATGGGTCCCCAAAGTGCAATTTGAAAACCCCTGATTGTGAACGATTAGGGAACAAGAAGCAGGTTTTTGTTTTAGGTTTCTGAAATACCGCATATATATAAATGCATCATAACTGTTTAGTGAATTCATCCATCCATCGTTCCACTGTAATGTATCATATTCTATAGTAACACTACACATAAGCAGGAAATGAACCTCTTTGTGTGTCCTAGAAAAGCATTGAAGAGAGAGACTGAAAGACAAAAATCATCAAAAAATGCTTATGTTAATGGCATCAACATTCTTAATTGGATTCTGTAACAGTATGGCAATTTGAAGAGCATGGGGATGAACATTAAATTAGAGCAGTTAGTACATAATTAATGTGCAGAAATGGCCTAGAGATATTGCTTCAACATGGCTGCTTGCACTGCGACCAGTTACTGCCGGTTCCTGCTCTCCCATTATAACAAGTCACCCATTATAAGACCTCCACTGTCTCACATTATTCGCTCCGTTCACACAAAGAAACCTTTCTATGAAATCTGTTTCTAAATTATTCAGGGATAGATGTGGAAACTATTAATACAATATTAAACAGGACCCCAATTTGTATTCTAATACAAAGCCACAGAGCACTGCAGATGGAGTATGGATGTCACACACAAATCCACTGACCGTGTTTCTGCCCGATCTCCAGCAGCACCGGCTCCCCCAGGTGGATGGTGAAGGTTTTGTTCTTCTCATACTCCTCATCGTCAATGATCTTCACCTCCAGGATTTTCCTGTGGTGGACAAAGACATCAAATTTAAATGTAGTATATTTTCAAAGAGCGTGTTATGTGAAATGTGGAAGTTGACAGTGGCAGGAAAATCTAAGTAGATCATAAAGAAACACTGGGATAGCTATGCAGCAGTAGCCATTGACAAAGACTTGAAGAAAGAGCTGAGGAAAGTCTCTTTCTTGAAACACCAGCAGAATGGTTCTCTGAGTAAATCATTCATAAAACCATTCTTATGTAGATTGTCATCTTCAGTGGACTGCAACAATTGATGTAGGAATGGATTTATGAATGATTTACACTGAAATTCATTCTGCTAGTTTTTATGCATAAGCCCTAAGGAGTGTATGTAACATCCATAATATTCACTGAACGTACAATTATTAAAGAATGATGGGTTACCTTAGCATATCTGACTTTCCTTTTTGAAAACTTTATGCAAAGGGCATTTTCGAGTTATCTTGCATTATCTTAAGTTCATTGCTGATTCCCTCAGAGAGTTAGAAACATGCAGCAGCTCTGATTTTAAGTGACGGGGCTGCAGTACAATGTTTTTGTGCTTAGGGAGCAGGTTAGCCATGGCTAATCACCATTTGTCATTATTAGCACACACAACACTCTGGTCATGGTTGATAAACACTGTCTACAGAAAAGCTGTACAACAGCAACAAGGGGGAGGGTGGGGGCAGAGAGAATTTAATTAATTTAGCAAAAAAGACGGTGGCACTCCATAACCACAGTACACAATTATGTGGTAACATTTATTTTAGCTTGTATTCTATTTTTTGCATGTTATGAATGTCATTATAAAATGGATAGTTCTGGTGATTTAAGCCTTTCAGTTGTGCTGAAACGTGACAATTATGATACAAAACACGTGTCCTGTTCATTACATCATAGAGGCAACTATAATATGATCAGGCACTACATCTAGTGGAAAGATGGTGCTTTAAAGGTCACATATTTTACACCTTTCTGGAGTTTTATTTTAAGTCTTGATGTCCTTAAGAATATATATTTGTGGTATAAGTAGCAAAAACCATCTCAATATATTTTTACAGCTCCTCTCTCAGGAGCTCTGCTGAGAACAGGTCGATTTTGGCCTGTCTAATTAATATTCATGAGCCTCTCTTCTGATTGGCCTGTTGTTTTCTGAGTGACGCACGGCCAGGCCAACCACAGGTAACTAGGGTCAGCGACGTCACAGCGCTAGCTGGAGGCAGCAAAACAAAGGGGAAACTGGAGGCGGCCCATTCAAACCAGCGCAGATTCGGCTACATAAGGAGCTTAAAATATCATCTTGTTGTGGTGTTGGGTGCCAGAATCGACGTAATACAGCCTCAGATGAGAAATTTGATCGCATATCTGCTGCCACTGCCAGACAAAAAACTGACGACAGCTGTGGTTAAACGCGATAAAACGAGCAGACTGGACAGAAACGATCGTCAAAA